AAATTCGGCTAACGGGCTCGGTCACGGTTTGCAGCAGCTGGAGACGAGTGCTCAGTTGGCACCTGGAATTGGGCAGCTGTAGATGGGGGAGTGGGGAGCACTGCTGAGGGCTGAGACAGGTGGAGAGCAAGGGGCTGCGGGTCAGGAGTGAGGGGCACTGTGGAGATGGGGCTGCAGGTTGGGGGTGAGGGGCACCAGCAGGGCCATGTGAGATGCTTCTGCCCACCCCCAAGCTGCCCAGCTGTGGCCCGGTCCCCAAGGAAGCAGGCAGGCAGGGACCAGGCAGCCAGGTCCGGCACTTCCCCCTTCGAGTCCCCGCCAGCTCATGATCCGCGCTTGCCTTTGAAACGCGAGGAGAATTCCTGATCGGCGCCGCGTTCCCGCTTGCTGCCTGCTGATCTGGGAGTGCGGGCTGGGGGGGCTGCTGCAGCTCGTATCTCTGGGCTAGGAGACTCCTCCGGCTTCTCTAGACACTGGGGTCCCAGGGACCTGAGCTCCCGCGTCCCAGGGCCCCCTCGTATCCAACCCGGCTGTGTCCCCCGTGCCTCGAGCTGGCCCCCAGACTCCTGGATTCTTCTCCTGGGTGGTGCTGCCTGCAGTGAGACCTGCTGCCCTGCTTTTCCCCTCCAGCACCAGGGAGCAGGTGACCCGACTTCCCCCACTCGCCTCTCCAGTTGCTGCAGGGAGGTTTTTATGGACTTCACCTGCTGGAAGTGACACGACGTGTCGGTGGCCAGGACCATTTTGATCACCTCCTGACATACTGGGGCTTCGGGAGGGAACAGGCCTTGGGGCTCCCCCAATGCCCTGGGCTCCATGGGAGTCCGTGCAGCAAGACTGTGGCAGCGCTAGTCCCGCTGCGGGGGCTCCCCCTCTCCTGTCCAGAGCTGGCGCTGGCGCCTTTTCCAGGCAATTGGGCTTCATTGCTGATTGCTTTGCTTCTGGCACCGGCTCGGCAGGGGGGGATCCAGTCCCCCTCCCTCTGCCGTGGGTGGCACCGGCCAGATGTGCGTGGCCAGGCCACCAAACCCCAGGCTGCTCCAGCCACAGGCAGTAGAGCTTCCAACCCTGCCTGCACCTCATGGCTGTGGGCACCGGGTCCCGGGGTGGGGGCTCTGGTCCAGAGGATGGGGAGCAGCTAGCCAGGGACTGGACCACATCCCGGGGCCAGCGGAGCCCACGTGCTAAAGCATGTACCCAGGCTGCACCGTATCCAGCATCAGCCCCTCTCGGTTGGGCAGAGCTGTGGCAGTGAGGCCCCTTGGGGACGGGTCGTTACCTTGCCGGCTCTTCGGCAGGCTCTGAGTCACGCCGCGAGCGCGTCGGGCTGACTCACAGAGCATCCGTGCGCAGTTGGAGCTGCCTGGGACCGCGGGTGCCGGGCTGGCAGCCCTCCCAGCTTCCTGGGCCCCAGTGCCACAGACCCCCCGCAGGGCCTGGGGTATGCTCTGGCCCCGCTCTGAGCCGGAGGGCTCCCGCTCTTGGGACCATGGGGGTTGGACTGCAATTACCTCCTAGCCTTGCAAGCTGACCACACTCCTCTGACTGGTCCCCTGAGGGCTAATGAGGCTCCAGGGCCAGGCTGGAAGTTGCTGCAGGCATTAGTCCCTAATCGCCTCTCTTGGCATCACCGGGGACCCGTGGCCACCCCGCCTCCCCTTGCTGTCGAGCCCAAGCCTGGGGGTGTCAGTGCCCCGGGTGCCCATCCTGAGTTGTGGGGTGATGCTCTGATGTGGGGTGCAGTGAGCAAGGGGTTAAGCTCAGCCAGAGGGGTGTTTGGTGGGGGGAGATGTTTCTGGTGGAGCTGATGCGGTTCCCATCACTAACTTGCTTTGCTGCCTAGTCCCGATCTCTCCCCTGCATCCAGCTCCGTGCCTGGCCCCCCTCCCAGTTCAGCTCTGATCTAGGCACCACCTCTGTCTGGCACCCCTCCTGCCCGACCCCCCATGTCAGGTCTGATGCCCATTTTGGGGTAGGGGGTCAGGCAGCAGAGGGGTCAGTGTGGGGGGGACAGAGCTGTGTGCACCTGGGGAGGTTGGGACAGGGAGCTGGGTGCATGCTCCGTGCCAAGCTGTGTCCTTGCACCCAGGCCCTGCATGCCCCAGGGGCAGGGGTCCATGCCCGAGCTGCCATGTGCTGGCCATCACCCCTGCACTCTGCCCCAGAGCTGGCTGACCATCAGCACAACGGGAGGTGGTTTCCGTGGCCCCAGTGCACTGGTGACGTGACCGCAATGAGAGACGGACACGGCTGTGCGTGGGGGGGAGTGGAGCAGAGAGTGGGGTGGGGGTGGGTAGCCCCTGTCCCTCTGCTGCTGCAGGTGCTGCTGGGGGCCGGGGGGAAGGGGACCCAGCACCGAGGGTGGTCAGATGCCCAGGTTGGATACTCTGCCCATAGCAGTGCAGGGCACTCGGTGCAAGCCAGAACTGCCTTTGGGGGCTGCTGGCACCGGCACCTGGAGTTTGAGGGCAGCCAGGACCAAGCCCCATCGCACCCCCTGGCCCTACACGCATGCCCAGGCAGCGCCGGGGACCATGTTCAGCTTGGTCGCCTCCCGCAGGACCCGGCCGGCTGAGAACAAAGCGTCAGATTTTCCACTGCTGCATCCCAGCCTCAGCTCCCATGGGGGTGAGCCTGGCTGCCCCCCAGCTCAGCATCCACACCCACGATGGGGCCCCGGAGATGCTGGGCGGCTCTGTGCCAGACGATGCGACGGCTCCAGGAACGTCCTCAGTGCTTAAAGGCAGCAGAGTCCTGCTGAGATCCCACCTCCCCCCACCAATGGCCAGCCACTACTGTGCTTCACGTACTCCTAAACCACCTGGGGTCAAGGAAGCCGGGGTCATGGAAGCCAGGGTCATGCCGGGGCTGTCTGGGCAGGTGCTGGGTGCCTGGGTCTCTGCAGTAATTCCAGGTCGAGGTGCTTTTCTCCGCTGCTGCCTTTGCCCTGGGGTGTGCTGGGTGAGAGGCCGTGGCCTGCGCGGTGCAGTCTGGGGCACCTGCAGCCATCAGACAAGGGCGCATAGGGGGACATTGCGCACTGTACGGTCCCTGCCAGGACCCGGCTCTGAGGCAGCTGAGGTTCGAGGTGGGGGTTGTGGCTTGCAAAACCCAGGTGTCCTGCCCTCCAGGCCCTTCTGACCCCAGCAGGTGCGGTGGTGAGCAGGGCCTCTGATCTGGAGCTGGAAAGCCCAGCCCCACCGCAGGCTGCAGTGTGGAGGCTGCAGAAGCTAATTGAAAAGCTTCATCACCTTAATGAGCGACAGATGCCAGCGTCAGCCCAGGCTGTGTGCTGCAGCACCTCCTGCTTGCACCATCAGCCCAGCACCCATGCCTGCATTCTTCAGGGGGCTCTGCTCACCTCCTAGGAGGTCCCCAGCCTCATACAGGTGGATGTGGGGGCAGATGTCCTCCAGCCGGCATGAACCCAACCCTTGGTGGGGGTGATGCGAAGTCCTTGCTCTTCCCAGCGGGAGCTGAGCATGCAGCTGAGCAGGACCCAACTGGATGTGGGGCTGGGATTTGGGGCTTGCCCAAGGGGACTGCCCTGAGCAGGCCCCCGGTGACTTGGACCAGCCTGGCTTAGTGGGCACCAGGGGCCACGGACAGGTGCCTCGTGACCATCCTGGGTCACATAGGAGCTCGGGCATCTGGGGCCCAGACCCAGCTGCCGGCTGTTTCCCTTCTTGCCTCTTCTTTGTGGCATCGGGGTGCGGGGTGGCATCGGGCGGCTGTGGAAGGCAGAGGCACATCGCGGCTTCTGTCTTGGTCTGAGGCTGGCACTGGGTTGGAGACTCCCGTGCTGTCCAGCATGGGCGTGCACAGTGTGCGTATAGCTGCGTGTCTGCTGGCCTCTGTCTGTAAGCACACATGCATGTGTGCTTATGCGTGTACATAGCTACTTGCACACTCCTGGTGTCTCCTGCCCTCCTCATGCCAGGTGCTTCTGGTCCTGTTGGTGCCAGACCCTGGGGCCACGTGGGAGGGGGCTGCAGCCAGCACGGAGCCGGACACTGGGGTCTAGGTTGGGCTGTGCAGGCAGCAGCTGGAGCTGAGGCCCGGGGGTGTGCTTTCCAGCCCACGGTCCCAGCTGCCATCATTTGGGCAGGTCCATCCTGCCCCCGCCTGAGGCCTGGAGCCCCAGGGCCCTGCTCCATCCTGGCTGCAGGGGCCTGGCTCCATGTACTAGCCCTGTCCCAGCCTGGCTGGTCCCTGTCCCGCCTGCCTGCCAGGGTCACTGGCTTTCTCTGTGGGGGAAAAGGCTTCTGGGAAGGAGGGGCCGCTTTGCAGTTCCTGTGTGGTTGTTCTCCTCCCCGCCCCCGCACTCCCACGCTCAGCTGCAGCCACCAAATTTAGTTGCTCTGCTGAGGACAGGAACTTCCCTGCACCCCGGCCGGCCACCAGTGAGCAATGGGGCGGGGAAAGGGGCTCTCCTGTGACCCTCCATGGCGGGGCTGGTGAGAGTGCGCAGGGCCCATCTGCAGGGCCCCGTCCTCAGGTAAGAGGCCGTGCTGATGCAGCTGACTCTGGGGTGGAACTGCAAACCGTTTCCCACAGCTGCTTAAAGGGGCAGCACACTCCAAGGCCCTTGGGCTTCCAGCACTGCTTGGGTAGGAAAGAGATGGGGTGGGTCTCCAGTGGGGCAGTTTCTTCTCTCCCCTGGGGGCTGGACCGGCAGCACAGAGCCTGGGACCTGAGTTGCCTGGGTCCCGTAAAGCCCCACACTCTTCCCCAGTCCTGCTGGGGGGACTGACAATGCCCAGGGAGGAGGGGCCTTGGCTGGGACTGTCACACTACCCAGCCCTTGTAGATGCAGGTGGGAGGCTGGGGGGGCCATGGGCAGTGGAGGGTCTCAAGCAGAGCTACCCTCCACTAGCCCACAATGACCCCTGGCTTGTAGGGCCCCGATCCTGCAGTCTGTGGCCTTGCTGGATCACAGTGAGCGGTGCCCTGAGTTGACACTATGCTTGTGCCCTCTCTGTTACCCTGGTCTGTTTACCCCCCACTCCTAGCCCCTGCCTTTAGGTGACCCTGGGCTCCCCCAGCCATTAGCTGCCAGGCTTCAACAGGCAGCACTTGGCATGAGCTTTCCTGGGGGGTGGGAATGGGGCTGGCTCCAGAGGGGAGCAGGGGCGGGAGGGAAGCTGGGCTCTGCCCCTTGCTCCCCTCCCTGTGTGGGCAGGATCAGGTGGGGCTGTGGGCAGCACCCTGCCGAGACCGGGCTCTCAATGGGACATGGAACCAGTGTCACCTTGGGCAGATAAAGAAGTTATCTTCTCCCTCAGAGACCCCACGTCCATCAGACGGGGGTTGTTTTCCATAAGCCTGTGTTGATTGGGATTAATTAAATGACGCTCTTTCCATTCTGTATTGATCGTGGCTCATATCAGCTGTTCCAGGCTCAGGCTTGCGATTCTGGGCTGGCTGATGTCTACGATTACCGGTTCTGTCTCTCATCCTTGTTAACTATTGGCACGTGGCATCCCCTTCCTTCCAGCCCTGCGGGATTTGCTCGGGTTTAGCAAATACCCACATCAGTGGTGTTAAGCATACAGCCTACAGGCTAGATCCAGCTTATGGAACTGGGACCCAGCCAGGGGTTCAAATTCAGGGCAGAGCCAGCTGTTGAGATCCGGGATAGGGTGCACCACAGTATGGGCCCGGCCAAGGGGGACCGAGTGAGTTTGATATCCCTGGTCTACTCTTTGGCCAGCTCTTTTCAAACTCTTGGGGTGCAAAGTATCCAGTAAGTCTGGTTTGGACACATCCGACCAGACTGCTTGGGTTTGTCTGGGTGTGGCATCGCCACGTGCCTCGACTACCTCCCCTGGCTTTTTCCAAAGCAGGAGCATCCACGCGTTTCTGCCTCTTCTCCCCTGTTACCAACAGTCCCGCCGTTACCAGCTACCGCCAGGCCGGTGCCATTGTTGTGATGCCTTTTGTTCTCGGTTATATTTAAACAAGCCCTTTCATGTTGTCCTTAGCTCGGCCGGTCGCCGGCTCCTTCTGTCCTGCTTCCTTTATCGCTTTGCTGCTTTTCCAGCGTCGAGGCTCCGAAACGTCCTTCGAGCAATGAAGCAGGGGACGCAGCTGCCCTGGGGGATCTCCTTCGGTGGAGGAGGAGTTCGGGTGGGGATGTTTTAATTCTTATCCACCCCCTTCTTTCCCAGCTGTCACATGGACCTAGGTTGTCTATAGATGGGCATCTTGGGTTTTCTCTCAACTTTTGCTGCCTCTCTGAGTGGGGGGGAAGGTGTCCAAGGGGGCTAGACCCTGGCAGGACTCGGTCACCAGCTGGGACCCATCTCATGCTGAGTTGGCTGGGCAAGGAGCTATGAGCCCTGCCAGCTCCCCTCCAGGATCCTGTGGCAGCCAGGAAGGAGTGAGGATGCTGAAACTAGCTGCTAGCTGGGTATGGGTGCCCACTTGGCAGGGGTAAATCCCCACCTAGTGCCCATGGGGCAGCCTCGCCAGCGTAAAGCAGCTTCATGCAATGCTGAGCAGGACCTTAGGGGTCAGGATGCCTGGGTTTTCTGAGCGGTTCTTGGTAGAACAGGCCCTGCCTCAGTTTCCCAGGCTAGTAGCCGGCCTCAGGGGTGAGATTCCTGTTGCTTTCTCATTGACAGGCTTTTGAGGTTGGGTGCTCCCGTTCTTCCGGAGCTGGGAGATCTCCCAGCTGCCTCGTGCCATCACTGCACATGCCTGTCCCTCTCCCTGCTGTAACCACTAGCTTTTACTGCCCGACTTGGGCGGCAGAGGGGTGAGCACACCTGTCCCGTGCGCTCCGCCACCATGCGGGAGCTGCAGTGGGATCTCGGGGCGGGGAGCAGTAGCCGGCTGTGCCGCCGTGCCAGCTTGTTCATTATGCAAAGCGGGGAGGAGAGCTCAATCTGCATAATTACGTAATTCCCCGAGGACGGGAGCGGCTCCGCTGGGAAGTAGTGAGCGTGTGAATTATGGAGCGGTATTTACCGGCGTTCATTCGCGGCCTCCCCGGGGTTCTCTGAGGACGGGCACCTGGCGGTGCCCGGGACAAGACGGTGCGTGCTGGGCACATGCAGTCGGGTCCCAGGGCTCATCGCTGGTGTGGCCCTGGGGCCCGGTACCCCATGTCCATGCCTGGCAACTCCGGGCATGGGCAAGGGGGGCCAGGCCGGCTCCCTCCGCGGTGCAGGAGCCTGTATTTACACCTGACCTCTGCCTGCCCCCTCCCCCTGCTCTGCGCCATTAGCGCCGGCGCCGCGTGTCACAATCGATGACAGCCTTCATCTCTCAGAGAGACGAATGGGCCCAGGCTTCAGCGCATCCATAATTGCCGCGGCGGAGGAGGTGGAAACATGGCTGGAGCCGGATGGAGCAGGAGCGTGTCCCCAGGGTGCCCAGGCCTGGCCTGTGCCCTGCGCTCGCCTCCCCCATCCGGTCCTGCCTGCCCAAGGGGAAGTCTGGGAGGGGCACTTGTTCCCAGGTCTCCAGGGGCTCTGAGCTCTCCCTGCCCCTTTCCTTGGGGCATCCTGGCGCATCCCAAAAGCCTTGAACTGGCTACCAAGAAGCTGTGGCCCCACGGGGCTGAGCAGCCTGTGCATAGGCACACACACGTATATGCCTGCACGTCTCCTGCCAGGGCCGTGGGGCACCTGGGGGAGGGCTGTATACAGGTCCAGGTGGTCCAGGACTGTCAAGCTGGGGGTGGAATTTCTCTTCATCCCAATTCAGCCCAGCTTCCATGCTCAAGCGAGGCAAAAGCATGTACCCAGCAAAGATGCCCTGTCTCTGCTGGGCAAGGATGGAGACTGGTGCCAAGCAGGGATCCGCGGGAAGGGAGAAAGGGGGGGGGAAAAAGCTGCTCTGAGGCTCTGTAAAGCAGAAGCTCGGTTCCATCGGAGGCGGGGAGGGCCCCCCACCAGCTGCACGGAAGAGCCTGGCACACGGGCACGGATCCTGCGTGTGGGTGGGGAGAGCATAACCTGGGGAGGCACAAGCCCAGCCCGCCTCCGTGTGCAGGGGGTTGCTGCAGCGACTGCTGGCGGTGGGGATGGGGGTGCATGTGTCCACACACGTGCGTGTCTGTCCCCGGGTTTAACCCTTCAGCTGGCGGCACTGGCAACGGCTGCCATGGAGAGAACCCAGGAGTCCTGAGGACCTGTGCTCGGACGCTGTGGCTGCTGTAGCCTGGTCCCTTCTGTGGGTCTGGGGAGGAGCAGGCGAATGTGGGTGATGGATATGTCGGCCCCCAACCAACGTGGCAGCTGCCGGGTCCTTGGATGGATCCTAGATGGGGGCGCGCGATCCTAATGCCCTGTGTCCCTGCACCAGGCTTGGCTGCAGTGCGGGCGAGTGCCCCCTTCAGAGCTATGCGTGGCCAGAAAGCCAACGGGACCTTCGGATAGCCCCTGTGCTGCCCTTCGTGGGGGGCCCTGGGACCCTCTGGGCTGCTGGGGAAATCCAGGGGCTGACACCGATCTCCATTGTGGGTATCTTGTGATGCTTCCCTTCCCCTCCATGCAAGCCACAGAGATGCAGGTGCCTAAATCGGTTAGCCAGGTCCCCCAAGGGCTGTGCTGTGCATCTGAGCCTAATGTTTTCCTGCTCCGAGCTGGCCTGGCTCGGCTGCACCACGTTGTTGTACACTGGAGGCCCCTGGGGTGCCCCAGAGCTGGGGCACGGCGGGTCTGAGCGCTGGGGCGGTGCCGCGGGGCCCGCGAGACCCGCTCAGCCGTGCTTTTGCAGATGTCTCCTTGAGCTTGCCCTTGCCGCCGGCTTTGAGCATCGATTACTCCTCCCTCCCTCTCTGCCCGCCCGCCCGCTGCAGCGCCTTCCCGGCTAATTGAAAAGATTGGCGGTGAGATTATAGCCTTGGTGTGACAATTGCCCGGGAGGGAGCCCAGTGGCTGGCCAGGGAGAGCTGGGCCTGGTTGCTCGCCTCGGGGTCCTGGGGCCGGGATGCAGTGCCGTTGCCCTCTGCCCTGCTGACCATGGGTGCCCAGGGGGGGTCCCAAGAGCATCCCCCAGGTACAGCTGGAATTCGAGACCCGGCAGATATGAAGTCCCAGCCCAGAGCTTGGCTCTGTCTGCAGCCAGGTGGGTCTGGACCCATGCAGCCCCCCTGCTCTGACCACTGGGAAGCACTCTCCAGTCTGCCTGCCCAGGCTCAAGCAGGGCTGTGGCTGTGCCTGGGAGAGCCCGCCTGGTCCCTGCCCTTCTCCATGGTCCGGTCCCTGCACTGTGCTGCTGGGGGTCTGATGCCTGCCCAACCCTGGGGCCCAGAGGGGTGTAGGAGGGAGCATAGGCAGGGGGTTTCTCTACCCTCAGCTGGAGAGGTGGGGGTGGGGATGGGGGG